TCTTTTTTTAAAAAATATCAAATGAATGGTTTTTATAGACGAATTGTTGTCGCAAGCATTTTTAAACTGCGCGGGTGATGTCCCGCAAACTTAATCTTTGGTGTTTTGCAACTTTCGTAAAAGTCAGAAAGCCCTTATGGCATGCTAAAGCTGATTGTGCATCTGTGCACGCTACACTTCACAGTCCTCTTACGCCTTTGGGTACTCCAAATTAAACGCTTTTTTTCTCTCATTTTTAGTCGAAACTGCTTTCCGCTACGAGCGAGACAAAGGATGCAGCGCTTCTAGTATCATATACAAGTGGACATGATAATGAAGGAGATGAGGAAGTAAGCCGATTTTGCATCTGCTAAACAAAAATACACTAGGCAGCAACGCAAAGAAAATCCACTTCTGGCCTGTGAATAAGACTGCACTACTTGGTAGGATTAACGTAAATTAGGAAGAAAAGCAAAAGACTGAAAAACTGGCTGTTTCTACCTTCCTCGAGTTGGCTCGACAAAAATACGACGAGAAATGCTCAAATTTCAACAGAAACAGGGTCACACTCACGCTTACGTTGCCTCTGAAATGTTAGATATCGGAAATTTCGATCAACTCATTGCTCTGACTCCCTTTGGCTTATTCTCCATACCGTCATTCCCTTACACTAGTTCAACAACTCCAGGTTTTTGCGATTTCATAAGAGGTTTTTGACTGACACATTGTACACTGCCTTTTACGGTTCTACGATTTCTATTACAAAACATCGTCCAGCTCAGCATGGACATTCCTATTTGGAATGATTAGTTCCTGGTTGGGCCTTTACGGCCCTTTCCGCCCTTCCTATTTTTCCCATAAAATAAAGGTGAAAGCCAGAAAATTTCACTTAGCAATCACTTGTTGTATTGTCTGTGGTGTGTTTCACTGCTGATCAGTGCACATTTTATACACAGAGAATTTTTCAGTTTGACGAGTCCACGATGGAGGTGGTGGATTCAGGTATTCTGGAAACATTCAGCAGTTTGGATGGTCATGGCCGAAGAAATGATGCAAAAGAAGTGAATGAAATCTTCAAAGATATCATGCAGGATGCGGACTTCGATGTTAGCAGCCTTTACTTTTCTAGTAACTTATCCATTTTCGTGAATATTTAGGAATCTAAAAAAACGGATGCTCGATTCTGGCCAATAATGGATACTAAATGATTTCTTTTTTATGCGTTTTGTGCCTATGCAACAGCTGCATAAAACGCATATTGTCATTATGGCTGTCTGTGTGCGTGCGTTTGTATGTATTTATGTATGTGCATGTCCGATGCGTTTTGGTTTTTTTTTTTTTTTTTTTTTTTTTTTTTTTTTT